TCTCTCTCTCTCTCTCTCTCTCTCTCTCTCTCTCTCACACACACACACGCGCGCACACACAGTCATTAGGGCTTCTATTTCTTTAACAAATGGAAAATTGTTTCGTGCGGGCTGGACCGCATTTCTACAATATGCGGTCCAGAGGTATAAAGCATCCATCTTAAAGATGGGTGCAAATAGGTGGTCCATCTAAAACAAATGTAACTAATGGTCCAAATGTTTTCTTAATATAATTATTATTTCTCGTTTTCAATTTTTTTTTTCATATTCATGATCTCCATGCAAAGATTATATATTCTCTCAACATTAGGATAAAATTATATTTAAAAATATATTTATTGCCAAGCCCGCATTTCTACAATATGCAGGCTGGCCACATAGAAACCGGGTCCTTAACAAATTTGCAATGTTGGCCTAGAAAAGATGCTCTCTCTCTCCGCCCCCCGCCTCTCCCTCCGCCCCCCCCTCTCCCTCCTCCATATATCAGATTTTATTAAGCAAAATGGTAGCATAAATGTACAGGATATATGGGGTGCAAAGCAAGTCTTCCCTCGCTCTTAAGACTTTAAGGGGGTAGGGAGGGATGGATGGATGTGTAGAAGGGTAGAGAGGAGACTGAGGCTTGCAGATAATCAAGGATGGAGGTTGGGACATGCTATGGGTGGGATGGAAGTGATGATTCGCCCCTCGGAGATGGTTCCATATATGGATGGGACTACTGAAAGTGTAGCCTTTTCCCTCCCACTCTCTTAATCAGATGTTAGCTAATTCTATGCTACAACCCTTCAACGTTTACATTTTCGAAGAATCTACACTAAATCTGGAAGTGCCAGTCAGCTGAATTCCGGCCTCTCTCTACAATATGCATCAACTGAAGAATAGAAAAACTTTATAACAGACAAATATCCATATATTTTACGGTCTCAGTTGTAGGAAAGCATCTAGTGGAATCAGAACACTATTGAACGGTTACTTCTGATCATAAGACGAAGCTAGTTTGGATGATATAGTGTAAAGGTATGATCAAGTTGCATAGTTCAACCACTAATGGAGCTTTTTTTTTTTGAGAGAAATTAATGGAGCTTATTAATTAAGCCATTTCAAAAATGGTTTGTGAGGGTTTCTTTGTGGACACACACACACATGTATGTATGTACTTCATTCCTCGTGTATATTGGAGCTGAATTTTATGACTAGTGATCTGTATTTCTTTATTTTTTAGGGGGGCTTGATCTGCAACTGCTTATTTTTATTTTATGTGGATTTTTAATGCTTTGATATTGTCCTTGTTAGAATACTTAATGACAACCTGCAATACGGTCATCTCTTCTTCTGAAGGTGGTACTGCTAATGAATTGACTCTAAAATTTCCTGTAAATTTATAACCAATAGTATATCAATTTAACGGTCAATGGTTTCCATCCATTTGCCATTATTGTAATATCTTTCAGAGAGCATGTCTTTTTTTGGGAACTAATATTCTTTGGATATGTTAACCTTTCTCTCACAGGTCCCCTGCTCTGCAAGTTATTTCAATCAAAAGTTCACCAAATGTGACTGATGCATCAATTTTCAAGGTAGCAAACCATTGTAGTTTGCTCAAAGATCTAGACATCAGCTATTGCCACAACATCTCGCACGAATCTATTCGACTTATCGGTCTCAAGTGTCGGAACCTCACCATTCTTCGTAGAAACATGCTGAACTGGTTGGACCCCTCTCAACTCTCAGGTTTAATTCCTTCTGAATATGTCAACTCTGCCCCTCAATGCGGAGACGAAGAGGCTGCTGTTTTCGCGAAGTTTATGCCTCGTTTGGAGTATTTGGAGATCCAATTCTCAAGGATTACACCCAAGGGTCTTGAACTCATTGCACAAGGGTGCTTGGATTTGGCCCAACTTGATCTTTTCGGATGCGCAAATTTGACAAGTCGATCAGTAGAGCATGCATGTACGAGCATGAAGAATTTGAAAAATATTGTGAAGCCCGACTTTTATATATCAAGATCAGTCTTCCATGCAGAGAGGTACGGGCATTGGAGGTTGTATGATGAGCGCTTCCAAACAAATGTTTTCCAGATATGAAGAGCCGGGACTCTGCTCTGAAGATTGCCTTTGAAACTCATTTCAGGTAACCTGTAATAAGTGTGTTGATTGTTTTTGAAAATAGATGAAAAAACCCAATATAAATGGTTATGCAAAGGAGCAGTTACTTATAAGGTGCTTATGTTTATCGTATACTGTTGAATGAGTTTTTCGTACTTTGTATTGAGCTCGTTGGGATTGATCACCTAGCTTTGGGTTTTGCTGAATACTATCATTACTTGGAATCGAGTTGCCTGTTAACTTGGGTGATTTTTTCCAAGGGTTGTTAATCAGGTGTGAATGTATCAAACTATAGTATTGTAATTTGGAGTGGTTTTTTACTCTCTCTCTCTCTTTCATGGCTGGTCAGTTCTCTGGGTTCAAAGCGACAACTAGGTTGCGACATTCGAGTTCCTTCTCACAATGGAGCTGTGGCTTGAGCCCAAGCTTGCCTTTCTTTTTTCCTTTTGGGGAATTAAATCCAAACGTTCTTAATTGTTATGGATTTGTGTGGTAACTTCCTTTTCATTATGTACTCTGGTTGTTGAAACTGTTGATATGATAGCTTGGTTGTTATTGTTTGGTAACTTCCTTTTGATTATGTGCTGCACAACTCCAGTATTGCTTGATTCTTATTGTTTGGTGGCTTATTCATCTACACTTGCTATGACATTAAAAAAGTATTTTGGAGGTTTCCATTGTTTAAAAAATCATCGAGTCAGACTCAGAACTGCCTCAGTTGGCTCAGACTGGCGTGGTACTAGCCCTAGTCCCCCAGGAAATCGGGCAAATCTTAATAAATTCTTTTATTTGCATTTTTATTTTTTTCGACACCAAGTCAAAAAATTGATAGATTGTCCTCCATTTGAACCTTTTTTAATGAAAAAAATCACATATTGTTCTTCTCCTAGCCTCCTTTCAGATCCACTAAAGTGTTTTGCATCAAAACGATTTTGTGCAAGATGAGTGATTAAAACTCAGCATTTTTTTATCTTAATTCCCTTAGCCATCATTTATTCGATTTCTCCCTATTTTTCCAATTGATAGATTATCCCCCATTTGAACCTTTTTTAATGAATTTTCACACATATTGTTCTTCTCCTAGCCTCCTTTCAGATCCACAAAAGTGTTTTGGCATCAAAACCATTTTGTGCAAGATGAGTGATTAAAACTCTGCATTTTTAGCTCAATCCCCTGATCCATCATGTATTTGATTTCTCCTTATTTTTCCAACCAATATTCACGCAATTTATGTAAAAAAATCTGCTTTGGAATCCTGTAACATGTCTTTAACAAAATTTCTCCAAGTGAGAATTGTAATTTAAAGAGTTCTTTCGGCTTTTATTTTTCAGAAAAACCATTGGATTTTATAAAAAATATATATATTGTATTATGGAAAAAATTTATATAAGGTTGCAACCGTATACTCTGAATAAATGCATTCCTCAAAAATCCATCGAAAAAAGTGGTACACCTTGTGATACTATTATTTGGACCGTCAATTTTCAAGATTTTTATGTATTTGTAAATGTATTTGTAGGTTTGTCTGATCTGAACTATGTTTTGAGTTTGAAATTTCATAATCAGATGTGAAGTAATTTTTCATGTATTTTTGACACCAAAATTACATAAATTACATAAATTACATCCTTCGTCCTGCGATAAGCTTTGTAAGTGTGCCTACTTAAATTATGTAAGGTTGACACTTTATACAAACCCCGGCCTTTTATTATTCTTGCTAGATTTAGTTAGTATCTTCTGTTGGAGAGAGAATTAGCTTCTATCTACAATATGTACTGTATGATTTTAAACAATACTTTAGTGATTGTAAATATTTCGATAGAGAAGTTCCTTTTTTGGTTTTTAGAATTTTTTTTTTTTTTTAAATTCTTCTAGGATGGATTTGAAATCTACCATTTCTGAGCTCGATTTGCCTTCAAATCGAACTCAGAAAGGAATCGAACTCAGAAAGAACGGATTTGCTTTCAAATCTAGGCTGTTAAGAAAGAAAGCCTTCTTTTAGTTTTTTTTTTAAAGTAATTTATTTTTGGAAATCCCTTATTTTTAGGTTGGATTTATATTCAAATCCAGCCCAAAAATCTCTATATTTCATTTTTTGGATATCTATATATATATATATATATATATATATATATATATATATACTATACTATACTACTATATATATAATAATAATAATAACTAATACTAA